CTATATGGGGGATGAATTACTATATGGGGGATGAATTACTATGGGGGATGAATTACTATATGGGGGATGAATTACTATGGGGGATGAATTACTATATGGGGGATGAATTACTACTATGGGGGATGAATGAATTACTATGGGGGGTGAATTACTATGGGGGGATGAATTACTATGGGGGATGAATTACTATATGGGGGATGAATTACTATATGGGGATGAATTACTATATGGGGGATGAATTACTATATGGGGATGAATTACTATGGGGGATGATGAATTACTATATTAACTATATGGGGGATGGGGGATGAATTACTATGGGGGGTGAATTACTATGGGGGATGAATTACTATGGGGGATGAATTACTATATGGGGGATGAATTAATATGGGGGATGAATTACTATGGGGGATGAATTACTATATGGGGGATGAATTACTATGGGGGGATGAATTACTATATGGGGGATGAATTACTATATGGGGGATGAATTACTATGGGGGATGAATTACTATATGGGGGATGAATTACTATTGGGGATGAATTACTATGGGGGATGAATTACTATGGGGGGTGAATTACTATGGGGGATGAATTACTATGGGGGATGAATTACTATATGGGGGATGAATTACTATAGGGGGGATGAATTACTATATGGGGGATGAATTACTATGGGGGATGAATTACTATATGGGGGATGAATTACTATGGGGGATGAATTACTATGGGGGATGAATTACTATATGGGGGATGAATTACTATGGGGGATGAATTACTATATGGGGGATGAATTACTATATGGGGGATGAATTACTATATGGGGGATGAATTACTATGCTTACTATGGGGGAATATTACTATACTTACTATGGATGACACATACACATCATTCATCTACTCTTGGTCCGGCCCCCGGTCCAATATATGAACCCATTGCGGCCCTCAAGTCAAAAAGTTTGCCCACCCCTGAGTTAGACTATGCATGGACGCTAATTTTTCTTCACTTATGAGATAAATGTATATTTGATATGATCATTGATATATGTTCACATTACACAGTTATATTTGAATTTAGTTATTCATTATAAGCACTAACGATTTAAAGGGGCATGTGCATTTCTTTTTTTACATTTTGAATAATTAAAAGTGGCGTGGAATCAGAAAACTCAAGAAAAGACTGCTTACTATTCAGCAAAAGAAGCATGAATTAAAAAAGTAAAAATATTCATATTTTTCAGTTGGCACTACAACACTTCACACGTGAAAAATTCATTTTAATGCTCACTCCAGGGGACATTATGATTAACAGTATTTTTCTCATGAACTTTATGTTTCAACATTTTCTTATGAGCATAAAATATTAAAATATTAAAATAGCTTCCATGCCTTTTATTTTAAAATCAACATCACTTGGAAATGTGTTTTTATAATACAGCAAATGATTTTAGTAGATATGAAGACTTCACAAAACAAACAAGGAAAATCTTTAAAGAAAAAAATGGATGTTATTTATTAAATATGTTGCTTTTTCAACCATTCTTAAGCTTCCTTTTACAGTTTTAGTTAGCTTTCTCTGGGCACAGCCTTGAGCACTTTCTACAGCTTCACAATAAAACCCTTCACATAAAGAAAACTTTTTATAATATATGGTACAACAATTCCCAGTCAAGTTACTTAGCGGTTTCCAAATGTCAGGATGGTATCCTAAGGCTCTTTTCTGCTCATGAATAATGTCTGATTTTACCTTTTAACCTGGCAGTATTGTTAGCTTTCTGTCTCCACAGTGCCCCCTATAGCTCCTGTTGCATTCACGTGTTCTGTTTATCTTCTGGATTTAAAGCCACATTCAAATTACATAATTGGCATATTTATTTTTGTATTCTCTCAATACAAAAGAAAATATACACAAATGTCTATCTTTACTTGAGGCTGCTTGCCTAGAGTCATTTTAGTCATTTGCAAGGTGTGGGATAGTCAATAGACACTAATTTTCTAATTAATTATAAAACATCACCAATAAATTAACCTTAACAACCTATAGGGGTTATTTACTAAAACTGGAGTGTGCAAAAACTCATTCAACTCTGCACTGAAACCAGCTTCCAGCTTTTATTTTCAAAGCTTAATTGAACAAGCTGAAGTTAGAAGCTTATTGGCTACCATTCATAGCTGCACCAGATTCTGAGTGCTCCAGTTTTAGTAAATCAACTATATATATATATATATATATATATATATATATATATATATATATATATGTACACTGTATGAAAAACATTAGAAGCAATACAGGCACTCAAAGGATGTGGCACAAGGAGTATTGATTAGAAAAAACTGTTTTTAACAGACAGCAGACATTTCGGTGGTTTGGGACAGGTCCCACCAAAACGTCTGTGGCCTATTGGAAAAGCTCTTTCTCATCAATACTCTTTATGACTTCATGTGCCAAATCTCATGAGTGCCTGTATGACATCTAATGTTTTCTAATGATCTCTGAATGTGCACGCAAGCCTCCCTGTTTGACATTTGATTTACTAACGTCAAATAGAAGAGGTGAAAATTCACTTTGCAAAGAATACCCAACCATGTGCAAGGAAAGTAAAAAACAAACAAACCCCCAAAAAATTGCATTTTTGCTTGCGCATGATTGGATGCTGGAAATCAGCAAAGCTTCATCTCATTCACTAATTCCTTGCAAAATGCAACTTCCCTTGCAAAGTGAATAATCTATTTTCCTTCAGTAAATCAACCCCAGAGCACAAGTACCATTTGTTTCATATTGAGCTGAAGAAATAAGCTTAAGTTATGTTTTACTACAACCTAAAACTCCACTCCAACTAATACGTTTTTCTCTTGAAGTGGTTATAAAGGCTCAAGGTTTTTTACCTTCTGTGTGTAGCACCCCCCCAGCCCCCCTTATACTTACCAGAGCCCCATCACGATCTAGCAATGTGCACAAGAGCCTCAGCTTTCCGGGGATTCTCTCTCCTCATTGGCTGAGACTGCAGTGGGAGCCATTGGCTCCCACTGCTGTCAATCACAGCCAGTGAGCCAATGAAGTGAGAGGGGGGCAGAGCTGAGCAATAGCTCTTTATGTGAATGGACACACAGAGCAGTGACTCAGGACCAAGCCTGCTTGGTTGCCCCCATAGCAAGCTGCTTGCTCTGGGGCACTCGGCAGGAGAGAGGGGCCAGTAGTGTCAGCAGAGGACCCAAGCAGAGAAAGATCAGGGATGCTCTGCGCAAAACCACTGCACAGAGCAGGTGAGTATGAAGGGATTGTTATTTTACAAAAAAGTGCCTTTACTATCACCTTAATTTTAGATAAAGTGGTAAAGAATTAGAATCTCTGTTAGATTTTACATGCTGTCTGCATCACTCTTATGGAGAGTTCTCTCCATTTCCTGTTGATGCCTGTCTGATGCTTGCACCTGGACAGGTAGCGAGGAGATGTCTCCCCAATGAGGACAGTGAACACAAGAAGAAAACACAAATGAGATTTTATTCTTTCCCCAAAAAATGTTTGTATTGCTGTTTTTGTCACTGTTGGAGAGATTTGCCCCGGTCACCATTTCCACCTGAGAGAGGTTCTAACCTTTCTGCCTGAAGGTGGGCTTCAAAAGAAACATACTGCATAAATATGTAGGCAGCCATCACTAAGTTTCCTTGAGAAAATGTTAGTTTACTAGTTGTCATACTGATCCAGTGGCTACAGTTACATCTGAATCACTGCTCATAAACAAGTGTAGAGATCTGAAGCTCTGACTTTGATTTGACTTTGCTCATTGTATGATTTTTCTGGGTCATTGACTAAGAAAGCTAGGTGAGTGCCATTTTTATATGGAGACAAGCTTCCAGGTCTGCTTTGACTCTTAGTAACAGGGTGCAGTGATTAGTGAATTGTATAACTATATTGAATTATTTGACTCTAAAGCAACAACAGGCATATGCATCTTAAAACGTGTTCTTTTCAGCAGTGTTAGGGTGATTCTCCTGGTAGGTGATATGGGGTCTTCCAAGGACAAGTGAGGTGACAGCATGGTCTTCACCAGAGCACCCTGCAAGGAGTGATTGGTGGGAAATCCTAGTATCTCCAGGCTACTTTGCTACAAACCAACACCAGGCCACAGGCCACAGCCCACAGCAAGAAAGTAGTCAGTGTCCAGGCAGAGTTCTAGGCAAGCAGCAGGCAAAAGAATCAGTAGTGTCAGGCAGAGGGCAAGTAAGGAAGCATTTTTTCTTTTAGATGGCAAGGCAGGAGGCAGACAAACAAGCTGGGTCATCAACAAAGGCAGAAGACGGGTGCAAGTTAGGCGAACTGGGTCAGAAATTGATAATCAGGACAACAAAGTCTTGTCCACAGGGTAGCTGGTAAAAATACATGCTAACATACACCCCAATGCATTCTCATGCTTGACCAGCCATAGCCACAAGTCCATGAGCCAGCAAGCACGCACACACGAAATGCTCCAAATACACAAGATGATGGGCCATGGAAAAAAAAAGGGGGGGCGTGAAAAGAGATTCACAAAAAAGTGGTTACATTATGGACAGAATGCGATACAAAAAGTAGTTCCAAAAATTATGCTTTATTACACAATACACATGTGGACAATTAGGGTAAATACCCTGATTCACCATCACCTTAGTATGAGATAATACAAAAACAGACCTAAAATCACATAAAAAACAGTATCAAGACTGGTCTTTGTAATAATGTGTTGCAGACGTAGTGACAAAGTACTGTCTAATACATTTACAGCACCAGCACATTGGTTACACCACCATGTAGGGAGTGTATCAAAAAAGTATACCATATAGGCATGACATGCTTAGCAATAATGGCTGATATCAAGCACCAAGTAACAATGATATTATTACCCATAAACCTAACCAGGCAATGTGGGTGAAAAATAGTAAATGCATATATAAGGATGCAGATGCGTCTATATTAACCAGATGAGGTATTGCAATAATTATGATTTAAGGCAGAAGTAGGTGGTGAAATATAAAATTGCATTAGATATGTCCATATTGCATGGATACAGAGTCAGTAATGAAAAAGTGGATTTCCTCAATATAATAGAGGCAGGGGCTGACTGACAACTCATGGGGCCCTTGGGCAATAGGGGATCATGGGGCCCCTGTGTCCTTGCCCAAACTCAAAAAAGCCTATGAAAAAGGTACCAGGGGCATCTCATGGGGCCCCCTACTAACAGGGAAGCCAGCCATACACGCTGGCCACGAGCGGTGCAAGGCTGCACAAGCACCAAGGGAGGAGCGGAACCCATCAGATAATAGTCCTGATGGTGGCGGCTGCCTCCGGGACTACGCCTGGTAACCCAGACAAAGGAAACAATGAAGGAGTATCACCTATGGCTTGAGTGGTGAGTGAATTGTTGCACAGCAAAAAGGAATAAGGCGTATGTCCGCCATTTATTACGTTTACTATAAGGAATATACATTGATTGACTGTCCATATGTTACCTATTTGTTACAAGATGGGGACAGTATTTTTCACTATATAGGTGCAAGGCACCCTACATTTATTACAAGATACGGAGGACCCAGCAATTTACACAATCACATCACTACTAAGGTGGTTAACAGCCCGCATGCCGCAGTGAAGAAACCCCTTGGAGCAGGGCCCTGCTACCTCCATTAGATTGAGGAAATCCACGGTGACTTTTTCATTACTGACTCTGTATCCATGCAATATGGACATATCTACTGCAATTTTATATTTCACCACCTACTCTTGCCTTAAATCATAATTATTGCAATACCTCAACTGGTTAATATAGACGCATCTGCATCCTTATATATGCATTTACTATTTTTCACCCACATTGCCTGGTTAGGTTTATGGGTAATAATATCATTGTTACTTGGTGCTTGATATCAGCCATTATTGCTAAGCATGTCATGCCTATATGGTATACTTTTTTGATACACTCCCTACATGGTGGTGTAACCAATGTGCTGGTGCTGTAAATGTATTAGACAGTACTTTGTCACTATGTCTGCAGCACATTATTACAAAGACCAGTCTTGATACTGTTTTTATGTGATTTTAGGTCTGTTTTTGTATTACCTCATACTTAGGTGATGGTGAATCAGGGTAATTGTCCACATGTGTATTGTGTAATAAAGCATAATTTTTGGAACTACTTTTCGTATTGCATTCTGTCCATAATGTAACCACTTTGTTGTGAATCTCTTTTCACGCCTCCCCCCCCCCCTTTTTTGTATGCCTGTTTTTTGGTTACTGGGCAGAAAATATACGTCTGGAGATATAGTATATTATATTAATGAGCCTCTGATCCTTTTCTTTACCAGTAATGATGGGCCATGGCCATGGCTGTACCTACATACATCTTAGAGGTACTGGGACAAGAAGAAAGCATTTTGTTATATAAAAATTGAAAAAAGCATGAAAGCTCTGCGATACTATATTGATAATTTTCAGAATTCTGAAATAAGCAGTATGTAAATGTGGTTTATTGCACATCAGTGTCTCAAAAATAAAAAGCGCACATTCAAAAGTTAAACAACCACAAAAACATATATATTTTTCTTTTAAATGAGCAGTACCGTTCCTTAGATTGAAAGTAAATTGCTGATTTGTATGGAAATCTGCAACTTGGGTGGTGTGGGGGGTGTCTTTTTTTTTTTTTAATGATGTCTAAAGGAAGTAATTTACCTACCACATACTATCCTAACATTTGTATACTTACAGTATGTTGACTGGATTTGAAAAAGAACCCAAAGATGTTATAAGATTTTATTCTCATATATGAAAGAGAATATGTTTTATTGAATTTATGCCTTCAGTATTGCCTGGGACAAAGTCACCTTTCTAGACTTCAGCATTTTGATAGATGTGGAGCACAGGTTAGTCACCATGTCATGAGCTGACCTCACTATAGAATTTTGTCTAAAGGAGTTTTCCTTGAGTTCGAGGCACTGTTAGATGTGAATCTTGTAAAAAATGTCACTTTTCAAAGGAAGGTATTACAGTCCATTTAGTAACAGATATGCAATATATATATATATTATATATATATATATATATATTTTCCTACCATTTAAAATTTGATCAACAGTTTATGTTGTCTGACAAAAGGTGAGTTTTTCACATCTAAGATATAATTTATGTATGGTTTTTGGTAGACAACTTAAGTTAAGCATGATGGGAGGCTTGAACATTTGTCCTTCTTTTGACTGCTACAAAAAATGCAACACACTGGAAAGATGGACTACATAAGCCCTTACTGGAACTAGAGGCCAAATGGATCTACAGATGTAAGGCCAATGTTTTGCTGCTCGGTAAAAAGACAAAATCTGGATTTTGAATTTTTCCTAGTTTTAAAAATATCTTTATCTTTTTTCCACACTGTTTCATACATTATTATACATGCTATTTTTTATAAAAAAGATTAACTGGCATTTTAGATTGTGCTATAAATGATGCTTAAAATGATTGTATAAAGGATATTTCCTTTTAAAAAATGTCTGATATTGCCATTTGTATCTCATTTTTAGGAAAATATCTGATTCATCCTCTTTAGGAGACTCATATAAGCAATCGTTTTTGAACTTGTATTTGTCACTGGAAAAAAATAGGCTGTAAAAGTAGAGCAATAATACTTACCAGTCCCATTGTCAGTGAATCTAATTTTGTTGCAAATCTACACCCACTACTAGGATCTTCAGCATCCAATACTTTTGTGTGTGTCAGAGACCTTTGTCTCCCAGGTGCAAGCAAGTTACCAGATTTCTAGTGTTGTAGGCTGAAGATTCCTGGTAGGACATTACTGTACATAGGGCAGTGTTGCTTTAGGTATTTTAATATATATATATATATATATATATATATATATACAGGGGTGGACTGATAACTCATGGGGCCCCCGGGCAATAGGGAATCATAGGGCCCCTGTGTCCTTGCCCAAACTCAAAAAAACCTATGAAAAAGGTACCAGGGGCATCTCATGGGGCCCACTACTGACCCCGGCCCTCGGACAGTGCCCGAGTTTCCAAATGGTCAGTCCGTCCCTGTATATATATATATGTATATATATATATTATACAGTGAAGGAAATAAGTATTTGATCCCCTGCTGTTTTTGAATGTTTGCCCACTCACAAAAAATGATCAGTCTAAAAATCGAATGGTAGGTGTATTGTAACACTGAGAGACAGAACAGCAACAAAAAATTCAAAAGAAATGCATGTCTAACAAATTATGCACTGATCTGCATAATTGCATTCTGCTTTGGGGGTGTTTTACTGCTAAGGGGACAGGACAACTGTACTGCATCAAAGGGATGATGGACGGGGCAATATACCATCAAATCTTGGGTGAGAACCTTCTTCCCTTAGCCAGGGCATTGAAAATGGGTCGTGGATGGGTGTTCCAGCATGACAATGACCCAAAACACACGCCCAAGGCAACAAAGGAGTGACTCAAGAAGCACATTAAGGTCCTGGAGTGACTTAGCCAGTCTCCAGACCTTAATCCGATTGAAAATCTGGGGAGGGAGCTGAAAGTTCGAGTTGCCAAACGTCAGCCACCAAACCTTAATGACTTGGAGAGGATCTGCCAAGAGGAGTGGGACAAAATCATTCCTTAATTGTGTGCAAACCTGGTGGCCAACTACAGGAAACGTCTGACCTCTGTGATTGCCAACAAGGGATTTGCCACCAAGTACTAAGTCATGTTTCGTGAAGGGGATCAAATACTTATTTCCCTCATGAACATGCAAATCAGTGCATAATTTGTTAGACGTGCATTTCTTTTAAATTTTTTGTTGCTATTCTGTCTCTCAGTGTTACAATACACCTACCATTCGATTTTTAGACTGACCATTTCTTCGTGAGTGGGAAAACATTAAAAATCAGCAGGGGATCAAATACTTATTTCCTTCACTGTATATATACATAGTACATTACAGTTGTTCATTGACAACACTTTAAAAGCGATTTAAAACTTTAAAAAATTTGAAAACACTTTAAAATGCTCACAAGATTTAGCGTACTCAGCATTCTCTGTGATTTTGTTGGATGATGATGTCTCCTCCTGCACCACAGAAGTCAGAGGAAAGGAAGGTATATTATAATTTTCCCTTACAGATTTTTTTCCCCCCTAGTTATTCAGGAAGGGAGAGAGGGGGCAAATATAAACGGTGGATCTTGTGCTACGTGCAAGGTCTGCTTTAAGTGTTAATGTGCTATAAATTAGTGCTTGTGAGGGATTGGCAGTCTTTAGAGGAACATAACTGACAATTATACACTTGCTGGTAAGCTTCCAGAAGTTATGTGGTCTGGAGAAAACACCTTTAAAAATCCATGTTATGTCTATATGGTAGTTAAATGTATTTCCAGTGAACACAGTTTGGATTCACTTTCTGAAATATAGAGCTGCAAGAATCCTCCTTGCAATTAAATTTTGAGGCATTAATTGTACAGCTGGGGGACTCTGGATTTAGTAGCACTGCTTGCCTACAGTGAGGGCCAGTTCACACCATGCCCACATCTGAATCGCACAGGAACGCGCCTTGCATTTCAGTGCGATTCAGAACACATGGAAAATGCTCTACACCTACGATCTGCTGTGTGTGTGTCAATAATAAGTTGACACAGTGCATTTGCTTGTACCCTGTACTTGTGGGCAGCACAGTGGCTAAATGGTTAGCAATTCTGCCTGGCAGTACTAGTGTCGTTGGTTTGAATCCCAACCATGGCACCACCTGCCTGACGTTTGCATGTTCTCCTTGTGCCTGCATGGGTTTCCTCTGGGCACTCCAGGTTCCTCCCATACTCTAAAGACATGCTGGTAGGTTAATTGACTCCTGTCTAAAATTGGCCCTAGTATGTGTATGTATGAATACAAGTTAGGGACCTTAGATTGTACACCCCTTGGGCTGAAATCACACAGCACAGAACTGCATGTGAATTGTACAGGAATGAAGAGTGTGTTCCTGTGTGATTCAGATGAGGGTATGGTGTGAACCAGCCCTGAGACCAAGAGAGGGAAATGCATGGAGCAGATCTATACAGTACTATGGTGAGCCTTGTCTTTGAGTCCATATTTGTTGAAATAAGGCAGCAGCCCAGCAGGTGCAGTGACATATTGTATCATATGGTTTGTGTATGTATAAGTGTTTTCAGACAAGATTCACACAACATTCACCCAGGATTCACATATTCTCACCTAAATCCAATAAGAATCCTGGGTGAAAGTTGCATTAATCTTGGATGAAAAAAATAATAAAAATTGACCCCAGTGTTATCTATTTGTAGCACTACCCCTTTAGGAGTTGAAAGAGATTTGGGTCCCCCTATAGTCCTGCACAGCCAGGCAACATGCATTTCCTTCACTCAGACTTGCAGCAGGAGACAATAACCAGTCCATGAGCTTTGTTTTGAAATTTTATTAGGGGATTTGGAACTTGGATGTAGTAAGGAGCGTATGGGATGCCCAAGGTAATGGCAACTGAGAAAAACTCCTTAGAAACTATGTACAAGTCTTTACAGCATCTCCTGTAGTACCACCCCAGACTGCAGTGTGAAACAGTCCTGGGTAAGATAGCAAATCCAGTTCCCCACTATAGTGCTCCTTTCCCCTTACTTGCCCAAGGGATTTAGTTTTACTCACTTGTTCCCTCCCCTGTGCTGCTGGGTCGTGACCACCTGCCAGGCCTTCTAGCTGGGCTGCTCCTTCCCTGTGGTCCGCATTCGGGGGGCCAGTGAAGCCCTAACTTTTCAGCCTTCCAAGGTCCTCTGTCTGCAGGTGAGCCCTCTCCCATCTTGGCTCCTGCCTCCAGCCTCACATCCTTCTCTCTCTTTTCTACCTGAACTCTCCTGCTGCTGAGTAGGCTCTGTCACGTTTAAGGGTTGTCATGGCCCCTTGCCAAACAAGGCACTAGCAATAATCACTGTGTTCTCCGTGCAGGAGCAGCTTCCCCACCAGGAGAACATGTTGACTGCGAGCAATTCCCCTGTCAACACTGTCTGTGCTGAGGGGAAAATCAAGTGAATTTCTTTTCTGCAACCCCCTGATTTCCTGGTTGCAGAAAAGAAATTTGCTCCATCTATGGCCAGCCTAGCCTAGAGCAAGGGCTTGCCTAAATGCCTACAAATTGAAAATGTTTAGGTTTGACCTCAGAATATATGGTTTGGGTAAATCTAAAGGAGTGTTGTACAAGAAAATTGTATAATGTATGGCTAGGCTGAAACTGCTACTGACTTAAGCTGCCCATAAATTATGCAGTTTTCTTGTTTTATGTACAATCCTATTTAGCTTTACCTTCAACTATGTAGTGCAAGGGCCTGTCTGATTGGATACAAATTGCATATGTTGTTTAGGTTTGACCTCATATTATATGGTTTTTGGTAAATCTAAAGGAAAACTGTACAAGAACGTATGTATGTATGTATGTATGGCCAGCCTTTGACTGCTACAAAGTTTGGTTTAGGCCAGTTTGGTTTAGGCCAGCATGGTGGAGTCTGTATATTCTCTCAATGTGTGGTTGGATTTCCTACAGGACTTTTTATTTACTCTCACACTCCAAAATCAAGGCTGCTAAGTTAATCGGCTTCCATCTAATTTATCGTAAAAATATGTGTACATGATTTATACTTTTAGTTATAAATATTATTTACTAAAATGATTTCATAATATATATATATATATATATAAACCATACAGTATATTACTGTTGTTATAATTCACTAAAATTATTGCACACTATTTCGATATAGAATGCTATCATGCTATTGCACAGATAAGGTACATAGTTGAAGCAAACGATTCTCTTAATAAAAAACAGGATTATATAGAAAAAATTATCAGATTTTCAGTCTTAGATGTAATCAGGTAATTCTCATCAAACTGACAGTTCCATATCAAGAAAATAAAATGTGTCCCCCTAAGCTTGCTGCTTTTTGCAGAGAAAGTGAGTGACCCAAACTTTAAGAAGCTAAGCATTGCATTTTTATTGTTAGAGAGGAAAGAATTTGAATCATTGTGAAATGACATTATAAAACCTTTCAAAGTAGACTACCCAAACAGGCTATCTTTTCTTCATCAAACTCACTAACATGCAATGATTAAAAATACATACATTATATGTAACAAAAATGAATATTCAACAGCTTCAATTCTATATCTGCTTTTCTATTTTTAATATTCTTTTTTATTCAGTATGTATTTTTTTATGTATGGCTTAGTGTTAATTATATATCATGCAACCACTAGATGTCTCCAAATATCCTCACCATTTTGTTCTAATACATACATAGATTGTTATTTAAATTATATATATATATATATATATATATATATATACACACATATACTGTATATATATACACACACACACACACACACACACACACATATATGCTGCCTTTAGAATAATGATCATTACAGCTTTTTGTTTCTCTTCACTCTCCCTGTTTCATTGTTTTATTTAATGCAAATTATCTCTACTTTAGAAATGATTGACAAGAGAAGTTGTGGTGTGAAAGCGCACTTTAATAAAATACAGAGAAATGTAAACAAACAGGTTGGAAAAAATAAACTAATGTAGCAAACAAATTACTCCAACATCCACAGCATTGTGCAATTAAAAAATATGAAGTTTTGTCAGTTTGGTAATTTTAGTGAAACAAATTGGTGAAGATTCCTTATACTGTAAATAGGAGAAATCTATCTAAATTGAGTTAATACATTTCCCTGCATAGCTTTATAAAATATTAAACTGCTAAATAAATATTTTTCTCATTGTTCAATATTTTGCGTGCCCCGGAAATTACTGTATGTGATAGACCAGAAAACAATGACCACAAAACAAGAGAGGGCTAAGTCAGAGATATTTGAGCAATAGGTGCACAGGTTAGCTAAGGTAAAACCAAGAGTCACGACCAGCATAATGACCAGTTGATCCAGGGGTTAAAACCAGAAGGTCCTCAAACCAAGCTGTATAGCAAAACTTACAAACAAACTAGGAGTCAAAAGTCAAAGAAAAGGTAGGATAGCATTCAATCACGATCAAG